AGCACTGTGCGCTACTATCTGAATGCTTGGAACAGGCTAACAAATGAGGATCAACAAACCCATTACCTAGCTGCACTGTCAGCAGAGTCACAGCCATGGAGTGCATTCTTCACAGTATCAGTTCCATATAGAGCTCTTAAGCTGCAATATCAAAAACAATGACTATAAATTAACAGCTGTTACTCACAACTTTCTAACTTTCTATCTACAGAAGGAGGCTTGGAGGCTTGAGAACTCTCACTTGAGAACTATAAATGAACTTTAGGTACAATGTACCTCTGATTGCATAATCAAGAATTTTAAAATTTTCCAATATTCAATCAAAGAATGCTACGGTTCCCCAGACTATGCAAATATCAATCAGAGTTCTGGATGTTAAACAAGAAACTCAATTACATGTACATAAACTCGAGCCCACATCTCACCAACAGCAACATGCTTCACAACTTCCTTTTAGAAGCATATTTTTACAACAACCAAATTGCAATGCAACAGTCATGTACACGAACAGAGTGAAATGCATACTACATGTAAGGAAAATGGACAAATAGGTCCAATCAAACAAATGGGTTCAAGACATACTTTTTTACTAATTAGAAAACAGTTTATTAGTAATTAATTGCTGTGACTTCACCAATGTTTATAAGCTCTAAAAAAAAGAACATGTGATTAAATCACATCAGTTTGCACAGAATAGGGACACAATTCGCCTTAGTGCAGCCATATGTATTGTTATTGATAATTTTGTCACGACGCATAATTATAAGTAACAGAAAGTTACTTTGTACCATAAGTACATACCTGGCTGGGGCCTCTTCTTTAGCAATATTGACATCTTTTGGACCAATAAGATCTCGGAAATAATCAATGGTACCTTCGCCAGCATTAGCTTCATCGGCTTTGCTTAGCACAAGAGTCATACATGGACCACTGAAAATTAATTAAAGAACCAGTTTTTTCCACAATCAGCTTTGTTTCAGCCACTTGAGAAGAAATGCTTCATTAGTGTGCACAAAAAGCAGGAAAAAAGGTAGGGAAAATAAAGACAGTATTTTGCATACGTGAAAAAAAAACCTGTCTGAGGGACCTGTATGCAGCCAAAATATCATGTCCATGGCTTTTGTCCTTCGTACACATAATCATTGAGAGCCACATTGCCATTAGATTTCAGAGGGAAGATTAAGACTGATTTTCGGAAATGTCTTGATTTTTGGAAAGAAAGAAAAACCAAGTGAAAGATAAGGTAAAAACAAAGTTAAAGTATAGGGCAGGAATAAACTTATACTGTATTTATAAACCACATTAACACCTTCTGGGTTGGATGAAATGAGCAACAAAAAAAGGCCAAGGACTCTCAGCTACAGGACTTTCTGTACTGTGACCCCAGTGTTTATAGGAAGTGATTTCATTACCTCGACATAAATTCCACCAGTTGATCAAAGTGTTCAGAACCTTCATGCTGTTTATAGAACTCTGCAGCTTCCTCCTTAGTCAACAGCTTTTCTTCCTTTTTCAAAACTTCCATTCCTGACTCTTCAACCTGTTTGTTAAAGGCAAACCCTTTTGTTGAAGGACAATGCATGTTCTTTTTCATGTACATGTAGACCAATGCCACTATCTACTCTGCCCCACCTCCCCCCCCCCCCCCTCCCCCCCCCACACCCCCCCCATCCCTGGCCCCCCCCCTTCCCCCCGCGCCCTTTTTCCAAAATTAAAAAAAAAAAAACAAAAAAAACCCAAAAAAAAAAAACTAGACAAAAAAAAAACAAAAACTATCAGAACTTTTTTCCCACAAAACCCACTCCCCCAACACCACCTGTCA